CGTGGACGGGTACTTGTACATCCAAACAACAAAAAGACATTAAGTACAGATTTGAGAGTACTCTCAGTTACTGACAGCTAGTTCAAAGCCAACAACAACTAATAAAACAATCATGCATCTTAGACTAAATTAGCAATCAGTACACATCCAACATCCAATGAATTTAGTTTAAAGACGTCATAAATAGTCAAAGAAAAACATGACCGTGTGCAATGCCAAGATACAGGTATCGACAGATTGTAAAGCCATGAATGTGCATATGTATATGGGTCATTATAAAAAAACATGCAAATTTCGATGAAGTAATATTTGGAAAAACGATGTCATTGTTTAAAACATTTAAATGTGTCCCTCTATTCTATAGTATGGTAGCAACTATTTTCAGAAATATGCAATGGGAAAAATGAAGGGTTCCTTCAATTTTAACAATTTCAGGTCATCCTTTTTATAGAATCGTGTCAATGGTGTTACCAATTTAAAACATGCATTTAGGTACTAAATATTATTGTTAAACATCAAACAACTGTTCCAATTTGTTGTTAAGGTTTAAATTATTACTTATTGACATTATTCCTCTAGCTATACATTCTTTTTAAACATAAATTTCAGAATACATAGTCGTAAAAAAGTTGGCTGTCCTAATTATGGCTGTTGTAAATACTAAAAAATACACTAAAATTGAATATATGTATAATGTATAAGATGAAATGATAAGAATATGCTTAATCCTTCGTATACAACCTAAAAACGCTTTCCTTTATGAATAAAAATTAAAAAAGTATCGCATTTTTATCTAGTAACACCACTGACTCTTCAGTAACTCCAATGACACAAAAGTATCACCATTGACAACACATTTCAAATTTTACTTTTATTAAGTACTGAACACAAAACAGAGAACACTGAACAAAAGAAAAAGAAGAAAAAAATAATTCTTAGGCTTAAAAATCTCAAATTATATAACATAATATCAATAACTAAAAATGTCAGTAGTGTTACTAAATAGTGTCATTGGTGTATCAGCATACACCAGTTTTTGAAAACTTTGTATATGTAATACATGATAATGTTAAAACATTGTTAAATAAGTATTGTTTGTTATAAATAATATGATGTTTCGCTTGTTAAACATGAAAGAAACACCAAAAAATGCGGATTGTCATAATATATTCAGTGGTGTTACTAAGCTGGTCAATGGTGTTATTTTATTAAAATGGTCTCACCATTGACAGTAACACCATTGATTTTCAGGTGTATTTTAGTTACAAAATAAGGGCTCCATTCCCCTATTTTATATGGTGTTCCTGGTGCATGTTTCTACAATCAATATATTTCATAATTCAAAGTTCAGGAATTTAAAAAAAAAAATGATTTTTATAAGGGTACACCATGGACACTTTTAATATTTTTTTACTAAATTTTCAACATAAATGTTTGTTTTCTTTTGCATAACATGCTTACAGGTAACATTGCTAAGGGAGAAACTATTGTAAATGCTGAAATATTGAGAAAGATAACTCTTACCCTACCAATTTGTCTTTTGGTTACACCATTGACTTAAAAAATGAGACTTTTCCTTTTGGTTAAATTTTTTATTATAAAACCAACATACACCTTCCAAATCATTAAAAAAATGTTTGTATGTATCAAATGCAATAAAAAGTGATAATTTCTTATAACAAATGATATGAATAATAGCCCTATTTCAGGTCTGAAGGGATTTATAGTAAACATAACAACAGTTGATTCTGGCTATATTCAAGGGTTTGAGAAAAAATTAGGAATGTTTTTATAAAATTTCATACTGTAAACTGTGTATAGTGTATCACAAAACATTCATATCTTTCATATGCAATAGTTATTTTGATACATTTTGATATAGTTTCATGTCTTTTGACTTGAAAAGACCAAATAACATAGTTTTGCATGTTTTTTTGATAATGACCCATATACTATTTAGTTTGATTTTAATTTACTGATAACAAAATCAATATTAATACCAATAAAAACAATATTCAAAGATCTAATTACAGTGTTGCCGGAATTTGCAACCTTTTAGAATAAGTTTAGTTAAAGGGTCGATACGTTTACCAGGATCGTTTCTAAGTTTCCGGGCTCGGCAAACAACATCTCCGTAAAAATGAGGATGTGCTATATACCGTTTGAAACAAGTTTTCTACAGGTACAACCAAACTTCAAAACCAAATCTTTATATCTATATGGAAGAATTTAGTAAAGGTTTTAAGTAATTGTGGTAACGAAATCCCTGACTTAATAATTTACCAGTAATACGGTACATAGATTACGTTCATTAAAATCCAAAACGTCACAACAGACACGGGCATAGCGAACGAGTTGTGATATATAAACACCGTAAGATGGTGCCAAAGAAACATCACCATCCAAAAAAAAGGAAAATTAACAATAAGGAACGAAAAATGGTCCCTTTTGTCGTAAATTTTAGTGTATAGTTTCCCGTGTAAAACTGAAATATCTAAATATAGGAAAGGACAGTTATTACCGTTTATATTTGATTTATTTAAAGTAAGTTCCTTTGGGTAAATATCGGCAGTATATTTAGAAAATTCTTGATTATTTAACGAAAAAATATCATCAAGATAACGGTAAGTGTTGTTGAATTTATCAATTAAATGCAATTTAGACGGGTCTTTACTGAGTCTGGTCATAAACTGTGATTCATAACAGTACAAGAACAAGTCTGCTATTAAAGGGGCGCAATTGGTGCCCAGAGAAATACCTACAACCTGTCGATAAACTTTATTGCCGAAACATACATAAAAATTATCAAGGAGAAAATTAAGAGCTTCAATCATCTCACCACACCTCCAGTAAGTATATCTAGCATATTTACCTTTCTCATTAGAGAAGAAGGCTTTAAATGAGTTGCAGCAAATATGTTTGCATTCAGATTTACCATACGACCATTTAATTAAATAGGAAAACTTTTGTTTGATAAGATTGTTTAGAAGTGTAGTGTTAAGAGTTGAAAAGTCAAAACTGTCAATAGAATCAAAAGGACCATCAAAAACACGTAATTTATCTAAAACATCCAAAGAATTTTTTACTCTCCAAAAATAGTTAATTCCACTATTTTCATATATTTTATTACAAAAGTTAATGATAAGTTCTTTGATAGTAGTTAAGGAACTAGTTAAGAGCAGTGAAAGATTAGTTGTAGAACACTTACTCGAGGACGAGATGAAACGATATTTTACTGTTTTTTTGTGTAGTTTAGGTAACCAATACATAGCAGGGACCTTCAAATGTTCAGAAGAGGCCTTAAGCTGTGATGTGGTTATGATATGTTTGTTAACTATATGACTCTCTGTGGAGCGCACGGACTTGAATGTAGATGAATTTAAAATTTCATTATTAAGAACGTCCTTGTAGTATTTACGGCATACCACCACCACATTGTTGGTTGCTTTGTCAGCCGGTACAAACACAAAAACGCTTTGATAGTATTTGAAGTTTGTTTTTTATTCTAGAAATAAGCGTATTATGTACTCTTTTGTCTATTTCTGAATTATTTTCAAAATGTGATATTCGAATATCCACAACATTCATACATTTATTTAAATAAGAATCAAGAGAGTTTTTATCAGATTTTTCCCGTTTACGCCAATTTTTACAGTGCGATGAAAGAGCGTCTTTTGTGACCTGACGACACTGTTTCCGATCTATTTCAGATGGAGGACGATATTTTGGTCCTTTTTTCAAAAAGTGTTGAACCTCTCGGTCTTGAACGATATTGAGGTCCCCCGTAATAACATGGCCATAGGGATCGTATCTAAAATTCGACGATTTACAGTTTCAAGTTAGAGGAGTATTATTTTCTACACGACGTCTGATGTTACTGACGTATAATTAGAAATTTTAAGAAGTTTATAAAAACAAAGATAGCGCCCGTATGTTGACAAGATTTGGTATCTATTAAAGATCATAAATGGTTCGGGAATTAAAATATACAGGATTGTGCCTCAAATTAAAACATAAAAAAAATCGTTAAAATCTACTACAGCTACACTGTGGAACAGTTTTTTAAAGTAATTTCAGGAGTGAAAATAGTTTTTTACTTTCTAAGAGTTAAATACAGTCAGGCCTGAAACTGAATGCCGGTTTGGATTGAATTATTCTCACTTTTCTGGCTTGAGGTAATGTTCATAATTCTTGCAATTGGCTGGTCGTTGATTTAGCTGTTTTTAAATTTTCTTTTTTAATATGCCTAAATGATAACTGCAGATGTACGTTCATGCTGTATCTTATTTTTGGTTCCTCTTTTATTCTAAATTTTCAATGTAACGCATGCCACGCTGTGACTGCTGTATGTGTTATTTAGTCTACTTGTTAAATTGTGAATATGATGTATGTATGTGCAATTGTTTTAATTTTAGTTATACTTTATCAGAATAATATATATTTTGAATATATATATATATATATTTCTCTGGTTTTATATATTCGGACAAAATATAATTAATTGTTTTTATGCACTCCAAATCAACATGAATATAATTTTCGTATCAGGCTGTCTTCCTCTTTCATATGATCATATCAGAGTGTCTGAATATAAGGAATAGTGTATTTATATGACATATCAATATGTAAATTTGTATTCTATCATATATGTTTATATCATTATACGCAATAGGTCTGCACAAGGATTTGTATAGTAAGACTACTACAATTCCTTGGTTTTCACCTGTTAATTTATTGTAAATGAGTTTGTGCCAAAAAAAAATTGTATTTGTATTTTTTCTGGATGTAAACTTTGATAATTTTTAAATCTTAATTTTGTTACCATCGATTTACTTGAGAGGAATATATTTGAAACGGTTATCAGGTAGTAAACTGCTTACTGACGTTTTTGTTAAAACCAACCTATGCTAGGTTTTCCGGAAATTTACCCAAGACTTTCTCCTGTTATGTTTAGTATATTAAAATGTTTCTCGGTCGCTTTCCTTATCAGAACGTGAAAAGTCTCGAGGCACCTGGATATTTATTATGAAAATGGCGTCTAGTGCGAATACAGAAGCTTGTTATGTTGCACTTCTAGGTTTAGCAGAGAATTTCAGGACATCAAACCCCCCAAATATAAAACTTTGTATACATTGTTTACAAAGTATTCTCACACTACAGTTAGCCCCGAAAGTAGAAACCAGGACACGTGTCCAATTGGGCAATATCTTAATTGCACATACAAAAAATACTGACCTGGCAATTTCAAACCTGGAAAAGGCGGTAAATATTATATTTATTACGTTGAACATGAGTCACAAAACTAAAAAGAAATAATTATATGCAACTGTTTTTGTAGTTATTAACAGTTGTTTTTGTCAGGAAATGCAGTGAAAAGGGCCACATCTCAGCAGCATGAACATAAGTGCAGCCTTCAACAATGAGCAAAACCCATACCTCATAGCAAGTAATAAACACTACATTATACTGATTTGTTTATAACATTAAACATACAAACCTACCATGAGGCACGAAATGGTATACATACAAATCTTTCATGAGGTACAAAATGGTATACACACAAATCTTCCATGAGGTACAAAATGGTATACATATAAATCTTCCATACGGTACAAAATGGCGCACATCAATGAGACAGTTTTGACCAAGAAATGAAACACATATAAATCTTCCATGAGGTATGAAATGGCATACATAGAAATTCTCAATGAGGCACAATATGGCATACATATAAGCTTCTATGATGTCGGAATGGTATGCCTACAAATCTTCCATGAGGTTCGAAATGGTATACATTTATGTACATGTAAATCTTCCATAATGTACAAAATGGCGCACACCAATGAGACAGTTTTTACCAAGAAATGAAACACATATAAATTTTCCATGAGGTACGAAATGGTATACATACATGTACAAATCTTCCATGAGGTACGAAATGGTATACATAATAATTTTCCATGAGGTACAAAATGGTATATATGTAAATATTCCATGAGGTATGAAATGGTCAAGGTACAAAATGGTCAGGGTATGAAATGGTTTTTGTCAGGGTACGAAAAGGGGGGTGGTACGAAATGGCTATGATTCACACCACTCTGTATAATGTTATGACAACACAGCTGTTCCTCAACAGGTTGATTTAATACCTCAACAAACTGTTAAAGAATTATGCATATAATATTAAATATAAATAAAAGTAGATGTACAATATAGGTTGACAAATAACAGACTTGGAGGTCTTCAATGTTGTAGCCTGTACACCTTGAGTACAGTAGGTTGTAGATTCCATCCCCACAGGGATCTAACTATATAATTGAATATTGGTATTTGTAGCTTCTCCGCTAAGAATGCTGCATTAAGGAGTAAGAGTAAAGACTGGTCGGCCAAGAGTCAAAATGAGGCGTCTGTGTAGGGTGACTTGTCTTCCTTCAAACTGTTACATTTTGACCTAGCGAATTTTAAATCTGGCCCTGGTTGTTGGTCTAGTACCAATCAGGGTATATTTACATTCACATCAACACTGTTTTTCCTGAATATGCATTTAACTTGCCACTAGACACTACACAGCCATCCATCAAATGAAGGGTAAATATTCTACACACAAGGGCATATTTATTGTTAATATGGGAATTTTCTTTAATAAGTAAAATTTTTGAAGACATCAAAGCTACTAGTACATGTAAACTGATTTTTTCCAGATGAATATGAATACTACTTTTTTAAATGATTATTTTATTGAAAATTAATATGCATATACTTATTGAGTTTTTTTTTCCATTGCAGTGGGAATTAGCATGCAACGTATCCTTTCTGATATTTTTATGATATATACATTGAATTAAGAGTAAGAAATCTAGATTTAAAAAGTACATGTTTTTGTGCATATTCAGTGTACATTGTGTAATGTGATCTGAAAAGGCCAGTGTGTTAATTTAAGAAAAGCAATCTAGGCCATTAATTGAATTGTAAAAAGGGAACTTACACATGCAATGCTTGACTTAAATGGGAAAAAGGCACTTAAACATGAGAACTTAGCTGGAAAAAAAGCACCTTAGGGATTATGTATTGTATGATTGGAAATGGGCACCTTATGGTGTTAAACAATTTAAGGGATAAAAATCATCTCATTTGTCAATTACCTACATGTTCATGTAATACAAATGGAAATTTTTCTGATACATGATGTACTAAACTACTATTTTTTATGTACACTAGAAAATTATTCTTTTGTTGAATGTGGTTTCAATGATATACAATATTTTGCACCTTTTACATTTTTACCTTACTTAAAATTAGATTTATTCACATTTTCTTGTTTAACTTAAATAGCATCATCACAGATGGTCTAGATCTGCATTCATTGTTGTTCAGTGACTTATATTTATTTTCATTTAAACTGCAAATTGTTTTTTATCTTTTTTGGGGGAAATTCTATTCATTCAAGGATCATTGTGAAGTAAATTTGCATTAAATTCATGCATAATGAATATTTTGGACTAGATTTAATAAGAATAGTAAGGCAAGTTACTTATGTTTGACACCCTGGCTGTCAAGTGTAACCCTTTACATGTTAAAATTGGCTCCTCTGAATTTTGCTGACAAGTAAAAAGGGTTCAGGGTGTCAAATAAAAAGATGGGTTGAGTGTTTTCAGAAAAGTATTTAGCTGGAACTCTGATATTGTCATATCACAATGTAAATTATACTTGTACTGATGTATCAATAAATATGTAGACAATGACTGTCATACCTAACCCTTATCAAGGCTAATCATGGATATTGTTTGATAACAGCAATATATAACTACTGTGGATTCATTTATTGTCGAAAAAGCGAGACATAGCAATCCTACATTCCGTCAACGGCGGCGGCCACAAATATACTATCTGTGGTTAAAGTTTTTGAAATTTTGATAACTTTCTTAAACTATCCTGGATTTCTACCTGAACAGAAGCTTGTTTTTTATCATAAGATAGTATCCAGAAGTAAATTTTGTAAAAAAAAAAAATTTCCTGTTTTTCCGTATTTTACTTATACCATGTATACATGGACTTAGTTTTTCTGCCAGGAAACATTACATTCACTCTGTGGTTAAAGTTTTTAAAGTTTTAATAACTTTCTTAAACTATCCTGGATTTGTACCAAACATGAACAGAAGTTTGTTTATGATCAAAAGCTAGTATCTAGAAGGAAATTTTTATTAAAATTTTGTACTTGTTTATCCATATTTTACTTATAAATGGACTTAGTTTTTTTCTTCCAGTTAACATTACATACAGTCTGCAGTTAAATTTTTTAAAACATTTATTAGATTCCTAAACTATCCTGGAATTTTACCAAACTTGGACAGAAGCTTCTTACAATAAAAAAATTGTATCGAGAGGAATATTTTTATTAAATTTTTTTCCTCATCTCATTTTTGTTGAGCCTGCGATTAACAGCAAAAGTAGGCGAGACACTGGGTTCTGCAGAACCCTTACAAATTTTTTTTATGGGTACCAATTTTCATGGATTGATGAAATTATGTAATTTCATGAATATTTGATTTCATGGTTTTTGTCAAAGTCTGCATTCAATTCTACAGAAAATTTGTAGTTCATTGAATATCTGAATTCGTGGTTCACCCATATCAACGAAATCCACAAAAATTAGTATCAAACAAATAATAAGGACTCCACAGTAACTTTTAGCTGGTATGATAAACCTAAAGCTACTTTGATAGCAGTAAACTATTACGTTTTTTAATCATACATGGTGAAGAGTAAGCCTGTTTTATGTAATGAAAGAGATGCAATTACATGTAGCTATTCATGTATCTATGGCTAAAAATAGACATTAAGTCATTTCTGGGCTTTAAGGTTAGGAAAGCAATGATTACATTATAGGCCCTAGTCTTAAACCAATATTTTTATTGATTCAAATATCTTGTCTTGAACATGTTCAAAATTATTTTTCTCTTTTTTTTTAAAATTTTTTACGAGAAATGTGCTTATCAGTTTATAAATATGAATTTCTTTAACAACATAACAGACTAGAGATGTAGACGATGTTAAATTTGAGTCAGCAAGTGTCTTAGCACAGATATATGAACAACAGGTAAGTCTAGAGAAGTCTTAATATTTTAATATTTGATATAAACTTGATATTTAGTCTATATATGTACATCTTGCCATACAATACACTGATGATTCTCAACCAACAGGAGCCTACACATGTATGTCCACTGTATAGATTGGACAAGGTTTTAATTACCAAAGTTTTGAAAATCAAATGCTCTGTTTTTTTACCATGCTCAAATAAGGATGGAAGAGTAAAACCAATCTGACTAGTGATCCCCCCTCCTATATTTACAACCAGCAAGAAATGTTTCCCTAAAGTTATAGCACCACATTTATAAAGCATTCTATTATAAAATGTTTTTAGATAGCACAATGGAAAAAAAAATATATAACCTTTAGCATATTTAGTGTTATGTTTAAAAAAGTTTCAAAACAGAAGCTATGTTTGGATAAAGATTTATAATGTCTTTCAAATGTGATTTTAATATATATCCTAAGTAGAACTTATTCTTTTCTTTAGAAAGATCTGCCTCAGTGGTCTTAAATGGGTTTGATCCTCATGCGAGTCAAACCAAAGACTTTGAAATAGGTATTTGCTACATCTCAATAAGCTCACAGCAATTAAGAGTAATATAAAAGGCGGCTCGGCTAGGAGTCGAAATAAGAACAAAAACTGCTTTACAAGGAGTCAGAATGATGAGTCAGGGTAGGGTAACATGTCTTCCTGCAGACTGAACAATCACATTAAAAATATGACACAGTATGTATGACTAGTGCAAAGCTGGGCTCATATGCATATTATCACATTAACATGATCTTGTCCTAAAATGTTATATCTACCAATGGATGTCAAACACTAACCCATCCATCCTTCAGAAAGGTTATTGCTAAGATGTTGTACTTACTTGGTAGTTTGATAAATTACAGCATATTTGACAATGATAAAAAAATTAATATAGGATTACCGGTAGGTTCTTTTTCACTCATTCATAATCATAATAGATTGTTTTTTTCTATGATTTTTAAATTTTTGAAGATTTAATATGTTACAATTTCTGATTCAGACTCAATATGAATTGGCTAAGCCATTGTTACAGACTGCACTGGATATGTCACAGCAGTCACCATACTGGCATTGTAGAATACTCTTCCAGCTGTCTGTAAGTAACAAATGTTAGAACCATTGTGGTGTTTACTTCATGCTATGAGAGATTAAATAATTTTCTCTTCCCTATCAGCTACAGTTACTTGAAAGGAAAAATTCACTCATCCCAACCAGCTACAGCTACTGGAAAGGAATAATTTACTGCTCCCCATCAGCTACAGTTACTTCAAAGGAATAATTTACTCATTCCCATAACCCTTTTGGATTATAGCTCTTCATCTTTTTAATAAGCTTTGGATTTTCAAATTTTTGTTTCGAGCATCACTGAAAGGCATTTAGTGTCAAAATGCGCATCTGCTGCAGAAAAATTGGTACCTTTAATGTTACTACATTTGCTTGAAAGGAATAATTTACTCATCCCCATCAGCTACAGTTACTGGAAAGGAATAATTTACTCATCCCCATCAGCTACAGTTACTTAAAAGGAATAATTTACTCATCCCCATCAGCTACAGTTACTTAAAAGGAATAATTTACTCATCCCCATCAGCTACAGTTACTGGAAAGGAATAATTTACTCATCCCCATCAGCTACAGTTACTTAAAAGGAATAATTTACTCATCCCCATCAGCTACAGTTACTTAATAGGAATAGTTTACTCATCCCCATCAGCTACAGTTACTTAAAAGGAATAATTTACTCATCCCCATCAGCTACAGTTACTGAAAAGGAATAATTTACTCATCCCCATCAGCTACAGTTACTGGAAAGGAATAACTTACTCATCCCCATCAGCTACAGTTACTGGAAAGGAATAATTTACTCATCCCCATCAGCTGCAGTTACTGGAAAGGAATAATTTACTCATCCCCATCAGCTACAGTTACTTAAAAGGAATAATTTACTCATCCCCATCAGCTACAGTTACTTAAAAGGAATAATTTACTCATCCCTATCAGCTACAGTTACTGAAAAGGAATAATTTACTCATCCCCATCAGCTACAGTTACTGGAAAGGAATAACTTACTCATCCCCCATCAGCTGCAGTTACTGGAAAGGAATAATTTACTCATCCCCATCAGCTGCAGTTACTGGAAAGGAATAATTTACTCATCCCCATCAGCTACAGTTACTTAAAAGGAATAGTTTACTCATCACCATCAGCTGCAGTTCCTGGAAAAGTAGTGTAGGAATAATGCGGAATAAAAATTGTTATAAACGTCAATGTCAATGAAATTAATGGATAAAAACGATTGTGGTTTACATGTACATCAATGAGACAATAACCTCAAGAGCCAAATAACCAAAAGGTATCTACAGCTCGACATGCATTCTTCAACAAAAGACAGGTGTCTGTACAAAATGTCAAGCTCTAAATTGCCTCATTTGAAAAAAAAAGCCATGATAATTACGATACTGACAAGATAGAATTTACTGATAGGGATCCATATGGGTGGTCTACATGTACAGATCCAAGGATATGGTAAACCTGGGGCAATCTAATTTCCTCGACCTACATACATGTATGAACATGCTATGGAATTATATGAATGTAAAGATAAAGGCATCACATCTATCAATCATGAGGTCTGTCCGTTTGAAATACATGTAGCGCATGGCATATTTTAGTTTTAGGGAATGCCCTCAATTAGTAGTACAATAAATCACTTTTAGAATAACTAACAGCTTGAATAAAGAAAGATTATATGAAAATTCTATGAAAAATATGATTACAGAGCTCCAGATAAGCTGCGTATTTGCATGATCACGCAATACAAATAATTAAAAACCCAATGCAATTGCCCATTGCAGGGTTCAAAAACCCAATTAATTCAAAGGAAAACCCAATTATATGCCAAAACCATGAGTTCTTAATGTTTTTATTCACTATCGTTTGCGTTATTTACCCTTATCTGATTACAGTCGTCGCGTAAATCTATTTTTATAATATTTATAATTGGAAATGTCCTTTCGTTCTAAAAATAGAGCCCTGCATCAAGTAGCCGAAATGGGTCCCTGTTGGAATTTTCCGTTGCTCAAAAGGTACATGTGTTTATGAAAACATTTCGATCTTCTCGGCGTTTATCCAATTAGCGTTTGTCTTGTTGTCATATTTTTTTCGAATTGCTCGGGATTTATCATAACATACAATGAATTAAAACGAAAGTAAATATCCGATAAAAATATTGAATAGAAGCATGTTTTCAGCTTCTTTTTGATACTTTAGGGAAAGTTATTATGATGATAACAAGACCCGTTTGCGTACCTTAACAAGAACATTGCTAGAACGATAAACACAGGGTTTTGTGAAGAACGAAATCAGTTGGAAAAAGTGAAAGGCCAAATCAATTATGACATGATATATGTAGTTGGAAAGCAGCAGAAACCAAAAGTTCTAATCAGCTGGGACAACTTAACCCAGATTTATGTAAATTAAATTAAACAAAAACATTCAAGTATAATTTTAGTTTATATATTATTTTTTTCATTTTAGTTGATGAGTGAAAACACATATCTGTTTTTTACGTCAATGCATCTTGACACTTTCTTTGTTTTGGTCTTATTGTTCTGTATGCTTATGATAGTTGTCTTATTGGCAAGTGCAGTTTAACATTGTCATTTATTTATTTGATGTTGCAGAATTATTTGTAAATTTAACTCTGTAAATTTAAGTTGAATGTGGTCTCCATCATTAAACCTATAAACCTGGTCAAGGTTTTGGGGTATATCTTAAATCTGGGAACTACTTATTATTTTTATTAAAAAGTAGATCTGGCAAATAGGTGAAAGGACTGGCAAAACTTTCTTACAGCACCTAAATTTCACATATATTACATAAAAATCTAAACACTTAGCCACGCCTACCCCAACTAAACTGTAGGGTGATCATATGGGATCTAGAAAGGTAATTAGTAACTGTCCAACTAGTGACACCAGCTGCAGTTTATATAAGTTGTGAGAAAATACAAAACTGGCAGAACGTTTAAAATCGGACACAAATTAAACGTACAATTGCTCGTCAGTAAATAAACCAAATAAAACAGCTAGCATATATACAAAGAAAGAAACATATTTAAGATGGAAAAACATCTGCATGGGGTTGATATAATGTGATTATAACATGCCTAAACATTCAATATTGTGTTGATGAAAAAACCCAATACATTAAGGAGCTTGGTGGTGAAAAACCCAATTTGATATTTGCTTGATGAGTGAATTGGAATTGATAATGCAATTAAAAAACTTTATCACCCAATTACATAAAAAAATGGTGGGTAAAAACCCCAATTTGTGAATTCTTATCTGGAGCTCTGTGATTAGGTGCAGAAATATTTGATACTTTGTGGTAGGATAGTTTATCATTTTATGATTTTACAGTTATAAAAAATTCTCTCATTTCTTTATTTTAGCAATTACATGCTATAGAAAGAGACTTCCCTTCAGCAGTACGACTATTGACATCAGGAATTGAAGTGGCAGGGAAGTCTAGATCAGAATATACAAAACTGTTGTTCCTGCTCAGCAGAGGAATGGTAATATTCTACTGTTGTGTCTGTTAAAATTTGAAACTTGATGATGGGTCAAGTGACAATAAAATTAAATTTGCCTGAGTAGTCAAGAATTAGATATATTCATGTTATTGAATCCAATCAATGTTTTAGTGAAAAAGATGTCATACCCAATGTGAAAGGAAGCATACTTATCAATGTACTTTTGTACATGTAACTTCATTCAGTCATGTCTTAGTTTGCAAATTATATTGTACAAAAAATTTAAATAAAAATATAGCTATATAAAAATCTGTTTTAAACTATCTTGTTATCTTGACAGCTTCTGCTGATAGACAAGAAGACTGGTGATGTCCATGAAACACTTACAACAGTCAGTTCATTGATAGAAACTTATAATGGACCCACAATACAGAAAGAATCTCTAAAAGTCTTCTTCCTTATATTACAAGTTTGCCATTATCTAATGGCTGGTCAGGTAAGATCATACAAACAGATACAGAACTTTCCTTACAAATGTTTAATCAAATTTTATTAACCAGTTTAGTGCATTATGTATGAAACTGCCCCTTCATTAATAAAAGCAAAACTGATCCTTACAAACAAACGGCATTAATACAGGGCCATTATGATAAAACAGGGCCGTTATGAAAAAACAGGGCCATTATGAAATAAACAGGGGCATTATGAATAATCAGGGCTATTACGGATTTTAGTTGTTATCAATTCAAATGCATTTCTGAGAAAAGAAACATCAAGAAATTGAAAGTTCCAAAGAATCATGAGAATCATGATTTAATCTTATTTGACCCAGTTGTCAAGTTAATAATTACATAATACATTCCATGATGTGTATCAATTCATTTAATTTTGAGTTTTAAAATCCAGAATGAAATCTTGTATTTTGTATGCCATAAATTGCTTTGAATAGGTCAACAATAAAACTATTTTTACATTTACATGTTATTCCATCACATCACTTTAAAAGTTTCTTTTTAATATTGCATTTGGTATAATTATATGTATACAATTTCTCCACAAAAAAAAAACTGATTTGGCTTGTTTAAATATTACACATTGAAGGTTTGGTTAATAAAAGTGTTAAGAAATGGGTGTTTTCATATTGACCCTGTTATTTGTCCTCGTTCAGTAATAATAGCCTTGGAGGCTGTAATGTCCCTTGGCAATGCCTTGTGCCATTACAGGCACTTGACCAATATAACAGACTTTGGACATATAACAGGGACAGTATGAAAACACCCATTAATTAATACTATAATAAAGTTCATATGAGCTGTTCATCATTTGTCTGCAAGATGATATTCTTGATTTCTTATGGTTGCTTTTTTGTGTCTAATTATTGGTTTGTCTATCCATATAAAGAGCAACTTATTTTAAGTGGCATGAAGCATTTCATTAGAATTCTACTACTGTTACCTATTCCATTCTTTGAACAGCTGACAATCACAATTTTAACTCTTGAAAATAAGTAGTAAACAAAGGAAATATTAGTTTCAGGTCAATCTAACAAACATGCAAATTATAATTCATCCTTGTACACTATTCAAGAGTTAAGCTGTAAATAGAGTTTTACATGAAAAAAACATTGCATGTGTGTGTCCTTATATCAAATTGTATTAATTCCTGTATAAAAATAATGAAAAAATTGATACAGATCTAAATTGTTTTTAGGTTAAAAGTGTTAAACCAGCATTGAAGAATTTACAACAAATTATACAGACCATAACACAGTTACATACAGATGAAGGTACCAGTATATCATGATTTAATGTATTTTAAGTATAGGAATTTTGGGTTGCTGTCTCATTGACACATACCTCATACTTTTATACTTAACTTTATTTTGAAAAACACAATATGTTTACATGCTTACCACTTTTGTGGTCTCTTAGTAACAATCTTGCCTCTAGTGTGGTAGGTTGGGGTTTTGATCCATGTCCAGGTCAATCCAGAAGAAATGAAAATTGGTATTTGCTGCTTCTCCTCTAAGCATGCAGTATTTAGTAGTAAGAGCAAAGACTGTTTGGCTCGGAGTCCAAACAATGAATCTGTATGGTGACAGTAAGGTCCAACAGACTGTTACCTTGTGAACATGCATGTTGAAAACCTGTCTTAAGGGTCAAGTGCACTGTGTCTGTCTAGTAAGGTTGCCTATAATTGCTTACATCCACTTCATTTGAACTTTGGTGGATAGTTGTCTCATTGGCAATCATACCATCTCCTTATTGTCCCCTGCGCAAGGGTTGCGAGGATATAGAAATACCGGTTGTCCATCCGTTTGTCCGTACGTCTGTGCATTCGTCCAGTCTTGTTAGCAATTCGTGTACAATTCTTGCCAGATTTTTATGAAACTTATATCATAGGTTTATATCAGTTATGTCTTGGACAAGTTCCAAAATCAGTGCAAATCATTTATTATACGACTGCAAACAAATTTTGCGGTCGTATATTGGTATGACGTTGGCGTCGTTTTCGTCGTCCGGCGGCGTCGTCGTCCGAAGACACATTGGTTTTCGCACTCTAACTATAGTTTAAGTGAATATAACTCTATGAAATTTAACCACAAAAGGAAGATGGGGAATGATTTTGGAGGTTATGGTACCAACAGTTAAGGAATTAGGGGCCAAAAATAAGCATTTTTGTAACTTCCAGACATAACTTGTGTGTTAGTGTATGGATCTCTCTGACATTGTACCACAAGGTTCCATATCACAAAGGGAATGCTGGGATTGATTTTGGGGGTAATTGCCTCCAAATTTTAGGAATTAGGGGCCAAAAAGGGGCAAAAAACAAGCATTTTTCTAGTTTCATGACAATAACTTGTGTGTAAGTGTATGGATCTTTATGAAATTGTACTACAAGGTTCCATATCACAAAGGGAAAGCTGGAATTGAGTTTGGGGGTAATTGCCCAAAATGTTTAGGAATTTGGGGCCAAAAAGGGGCCAAAAATAAGCATTTTTCTAGTTTCCAGACAATAACTTGTGTTCAAAAGTGTATGGATCTCTCTGAAATTGTACTGCAAGGTACCATACCACAAAGGGAAGGCTAGGATTGATTTTGGGGGTAATTGCCTCAAAATTTTAGGAATTAGGGGCCAGAAAAGGGGTAAAAAACAAGCATTTTTCTAGTTTTAAGTTCTTGGACCACATTCATTCTGTGTCAGAAACCTATGCTGTGTCAAATATTTAATTACAATCCAAATACAGTGCTGTATCAAGCTTGAATGTTGTGTCCATACTTGCCCCAACTGTTCAGGGTTCGACCTCTGCGGTCGTATCAAGCTACGCCCCAGTGGAGCATTTTATTTTTAAAAGTGTAATGCCCCTTGGAAACATTAATTACATGGAAAATTGCATTGTTAGCACTCTCATTTGTACAATTCTTGCCAGATTTTTATGAAACTTATATCATAGGTTTATATTAGCTATGTCTTGGGCGAGTTCGAAAATCAGTGCTGATCAATTATTTTTTGAAAGAGTTATGCCCCTTGGAAACATCAATTATATGGAAAATTGCATTGTTAGTGATCTCATGTTTATAATTCTTGCAAGAATTTTATGAAACTTAAATCATAGGTAAATCACTGATTTTCGAAATTGTCAAAGATATTAGCAATGTCTTTGACAATTTCGAAAATCAGTGATGATCAATATTTTCTAAAAGAGTTATGTCCCTTGGAAATAATAATTATATGGAAAGTTGCCTTATGAGTGCTCTAATGTGTACAACTCTTGCCAGATTTGTATGAAATTTATATTATAGGATTATATCGTCAATGTCTTTGACGAGTTCAAAAATCAGTGCCGATCAATAATTTTTAAAAGAGTTTGGCCCCTTTGGAAGTATTAATTATATGGAAATTACATTGTCAGCGTTCTCAAGAGTACAATTGTGGCCAAAATTTTATGAAACTTATATCATAGATTTATATCAGCAATGTCTTTGACACTTTTGAAAATAAGTGCTGATCAAATATTTATGGCCCTGCAACAAAGTTGTCAGGGTCATATAGTTTTACCCTTGTCTGTCATTCCGTCATTCCGCAACAAACCATTATACACAATTTTTGTCTAAACGCCTTCAGATATTGGGCTGATTTTTGGTATGTGAGTTAACCATGATGAGGTACAGATCAAGTTTAAGTTTCGTTTTTCTCTGCTAATTTTTGCCGAAATTATGGGCTTTAGACTTTGACAAATTGTTGAAAATCACAGTTATACAGACTTTTTTTCTAAACGCCTTCAGATATTGGGCTGATGTTTAGTATGTGAGTTAACCATGATGAGTTACAGATCAAGTTTAAGTTTTGTTCCGCTTTACTAATTTTTGCTGAAATTGCGGACTTTGGACTTTGATAGATAGCTTGAAATTTAACTACTCAATGATTAAGGAAATTTTTCATCAAACTAGTATTGGTCTTGAGAGCTAGATACTATCCATGCATGTTTGTGTCCACATGTGTTGTTGAAAGTGCAGATTTTTCAACTTTTTGAGACCTGGCCATTCGTGTTGTTCGAACACATCTAGTTTTAAAGAGTTATGCCCCTTGGAAATATTAATTATAATGGAAATTACATAGCATTTGCTCTGAAGCCTGCATTTCTCTAAGATAATAATTAAAAGTTTTATAGAACAAAAAAAAAGTGCTTTTTTAGTTATTGCCCTTGTACCTTGGATAGATAAAATATGTGCAACGCGGGGGACATTGGAACATGTGCTTGGCTTCAAATGCATGTTATATTTGACTTTAAACACCAATCTATCATCATACTGTGCTTATATAAAGTAAAAGGTTCTCTCTCATTGCATGCTAAAGTCTATTTCTTTTTTTAAATATTTTTTTTTTAATTTTTGACTTATTTTGTGAATAATGCACATCTTTGATTATAAGGAATACAGTGTTCTCCCCAGTATTTTCAAATAGCACCTTGGGATTTGAAATAGAACTGTTTCCCTTAACTTACATAGTTATAATACATTCCATTATAAATCTTTGGAGTTAAAACAATTATAATAAATATAGCAACCTGGTACCATGGTGCTATAATGCCTGGTGGAAAATGCTGTTAATATGCAGCATAGTTTACATACAAACATCCTTCAAAATTCAAAAAAAAATATTGAAAACTTATAAAGTTCACTTTATAAATTTTGAAGGAATAGTAGTAAATGAAGAAAATTAATTTTACAACTTGAAAAAATAAATATTTTTTGGCTTTGAACAAACCCTTTTTATTTTATCATTGAAACAACACCAATTTAAAAATGCAAGCTTTTTTATCACAAACGTAGATAATATTCTCAAATAGATAAAATTGTTTAATTTAACAGCTATTGTAGAATCATTGAAATATCATCTTTTCTGACCTCCTGGTGGTACTTTAACATGAGACCTGAAAGTCAAGCTTAAACAAAATCTGGATATTTGGTTATTATCTTAATATCAAACATTGAGCAATTTAATAGATATGCTAAAACAAACATTTTGTTGTAGATTTCACAGAATGAAATGATGCATCAATTTTGAAATAATCAAGGACATTTTTGTTACTTAATTCAACCTATATTTGTTTACAGAACCAGATTCCTCCAACCCAGTAGACTTATTCCAATGGTTACCTATAGAACATATGTGTGTATTAGTATATTTGGTGAGTATTTAAACATGTTGGATGTTCATGTTTTAAGAAAACTATGGGCTTTTTAGATTATGATGAAACAGACCTGCCAACTTGCCTGATTCATTAGGGATTTCCCCAGTAGAGGGATTTCCCCAGTAGAGGGATTTCCCCAGTAGAGGGATTTGCCTGACACTTGAAATACTCCAATTTATAAACTGAATACCTGAAAATTGTCATTCAAGGAAGTTAAAATAGAATGCAAGCACACACATACTCATTCAAAGCCATAGAACATTATATTAAATATACTTTAGGCATGTATAAGAGATACATAAGGTCATGCTGTGCTTTAATTCCACATGGAGATTCTATTTTTTAAGAAATAATGGGGTTTTGTACTTGAAAAAGTACAATGGTTAAAACTTGCATAATTCTTTTTAAATGTTTCCAAATGCATATTTGGAAGATTTAGATTTATACCTGAATGTATATATTTACATGTATATGATTGTGTTATAGGTAACAGTAATGCATTCTATGCAGGCTGGTTACATGGATAAGGTACAGAAATACACCGATAAAGCTCTCATGCAGATAGAAAAACTCAAAAGTAAGATGATGCAGAATGAATTATTTAGAAAAAAATATTCATACCTGTTACATTGTTTAGTTACATGAGAAAGTTAAGAATTTAGTTTCCATAATGTTAGTTTATATTTTGGCAACATTTTTTATATTAAATGATACATAAACATGAATATTATATATATCAAGTTTGCAAATGTTAATATCATATATTAAGTTTAAGTGAACCAGTTCATATTTGACTTAAGTCAATATCCTAGATGGTATGCATGGCTGTTTTAAGTAAAATTAAACGTCCTTACTTATGGTTCCCCTTTGTATGATTATAAGATACTTCTATTTGATGGACACAACATAATCAGAACAATTTACTACACATGAGTTTAACTAGCTTTGTATGTTCTCATGGTCATATCTTATAAATTAAAATTACAATTGTTTATGATCAAAATGATCAATTCTGACTAATTGTTAAATTTCCAACAGTTTTTTGTTCATCTGGACAAAACTTAATAAAAAAACACCATGATATTTTCTTATGATTGCATTTCAGCTTTTGTACAGGGATATTTGTCATGCTCCCCTTGGCGTATAACAATAATGATAAAGATGAGAATACAGTTATCCTAGAAATTTCTAAATGCTGATATTTCCAGTACATTTTTGAATTGAAAATCTTTTGTTTATAGCAAAATACAATATTAACTTAACATACATGTAACTTGTTTTACTTTACAGTGTTGGATGCTCACCCTATTCTGTCTTCCTTTCAACTTATGTTATTAGAACATATAATAATGTGTAGACTGATCATGGGTAACAAGACTGTTGCCATACAAGAGGTAAGCCAATATGAGTACGGTACAAAAGAAAAATATGATACTGCCACATTTTGACCTACAGTATTATAGAGTCTGTTACTAGTGTTACATTTCAGGATGTCAATACAAGATTGATTGATTGCTGTTTGCTTAATGTTTAGTTGCAAATATTCATGCAAATTCAAGACAAGAAGTCAGTGAACAAGTAATTTTCATGTTGTGTTTTGTTTACCGTTTTGACCTCAGAAGGGCAGTGAAAAGTAAAATCACAAAAATACTGAACTCCAAGGAAAATTCAATCTGAAAGATCCTAATCACATGGCAAATTCAAATGACAAAACACATCAAACGAATGGACAACATGTCTACCGCAAAAGTTGGGAAAATTAAACACTTATGAAAATTAACCAAAATACTGCATTGTTATTTCTTCTTTTCAAATTATGCCTCTCAATCTTAGTACATTGAAAACAAATAAGAATTAATCAAAGCGCGAATGTGCTGTAAAGGCAGTTGCCTACAGGTTTCGTGATTTTATAATCCATATTGATTATGCTGAGTTGAAAGTTCATAAACTGTATTTTTCGGCATCAAAACTTTTGACAACATTAACAACATTCCACTTTTCTATCACTACTACTTTAATCATCTTTGACTTGTGCCATTAACAGAAACCATGTCGAGAAAATAATTTTCAATCACTTGTTGAATGTTTAATCAAGCTATTATCACTTGTTGATTAGCATTGGTCCACATCAACACAAGCTGCGTAATGTCAGTTAAACTTGATAAGTTCAGTACTCTCGGTTTTTTACATCTTCAAATTGTAAGAGGAAAAAACCCAAGTGTATCGAATTTTCAGTCTCACTTATTAGCGACAATAAGCGTCAGGAAGGTTCAAGAAGTGACTATATTAAAAAAACACACTTTAATGCATGATTCTATATTTATTTATTTGAAATAATTTTTGCTAAATTTGTTTTCTTGTTGCTAAATTAGTCTTTTTGTCGCTTAATTATTCTTTTTGTCGCTTTATTAATCTTCTTGTTGTTAAATTATTCTTCTTGTCACTTCTTGACGCTTCTTGCCACTAATTAATGAGACCCTCGAAATTATACACTGATTCCCAGATGTAAGCTTTGGCACTGTTCGTTTCGGATTTAAAAAAACAAACTTTATTGGACCTTTTAGTTCGAAATTGTTAACCTGACAAAGGGTCTGACTTGATAGCTATGTCAGACAGTCAGACGATTTTTAACAGCTTTCAATAAATTCCAGATCGATATTGATAGTTCTATCACAAAAAGAAGAAGAAAGAATTCCACTTTTCAGGATTTCAATGGTGACATATTTACCCCCACATAGAAACAAAATGGCTATTGTCTGATACCATTAAATGCAATAAGGCACTGCCTTTGAAAAATTGCTAAATGACTTGATTAAACATCTCTTCTTTAATATTTACTACACTTAATGCATGTATATAAGTGTGTTCGAGGATGACATAAAAAGTAATGAATACTGAAAATTCAGAAATTATTGCATACGTTTATTATTGCAATTTTTGAAAAATGGACAAAAATGTTAGATTAATTATTACCATTTCAGGAAAATCTGCATACAGATATATGTAGCAGATATCAAAATGTGAATTCTTATTATTGCGATACTCACCCAGTCGCATAATTTGCATTAATAAAAAGCTCATAATAATTTCTGAATTTACAGTATTGTGTATAAAGTTTCAGATTATGTTTTTATACGCCTGTTTACTGGAGGTATTATGGTATACCGTTGTCCATTCATCCGTCGTCCACATGTGGCACAATAACTCAAAAATGCTTTATCCAGTATGTATGAAACTTTGGTGGATTGAATATATCTATTTACGTGAGCTCCCTTTTGATTTTTATAAATTTTCAATTTTACGTTTCCGAGTTATGGGGGTTTTATTCATTAAAAAAGGGGGATTTCCAGTTTTAGGACAATAACTCAAAAACACTTTCACCAATTTGCAAGAAACTTTGATGAATTGTTTATATCTATTGACATGAGCTCACTTCCGATTTTTATAAATTTTAGATTTTACGTTTCCTTGTTATGGGATTTTATTCATTAAAAAAAAGGGTGATTTTCCAGTTTTCGGACAATAACTCAAAAACACTTTCACCAATTTGCAAGAAACATTGATGAATTGTTTATATCAATTGACATGAGCTCCCTTTCGAATTTTATAAATTTTTGATACATGTATTACTTTTCCGAGTTATGGGTTTTTTTTCATTAAAAAAGGGGGATTTTCCAGTTTTCAGACAATAACTCAAAAATGCTTTCAGCAGTTTTCATGAAACTTTGGTGAATTGTTTATATCTATTGATGTAAGCTCCTTTTCGATTTTTATAATTCTAAGATTTTACGTTTCCGAGTTATGGGATTTTATTCACAAAAAAGGGGTGATTTTCCAGTTTTCAGACAATATCTTTAAAGTTCTTGGAGCAGTTTTCATGAAACTTTGGTGACTGGTTTTTATCTATTAAGATAACCTCCCTTTAGTTTTCATAAATTTCTGATATGACATTGAGAAGTTATTAAACTTTATTCATTGAAAAAGCGATGGGCGTATCATGCGCTCATGGCGCAGCTGTTTATTACATTTGATTTATCCACTCACTAACCCAGTTATATTTAACCTCAGAAGGGTTATGTCATACACTATAGTGATATTAACTTTATTGTATTATTTATTGTAGATATTTCAAGTCTGTCATGTCTGTCAGCAACAACCAAGGTTATTTACCACTCATGGTGCACAGATTCATACCTTACTGGTAAATATTAAATATTGTAATCTTATTCGAACATGTCTTCCAGTTGGGATAAGTAAATAGAATTTGAAAATTAGGGAAATCTTAAGGGAAAGGTACCAATGGTTAAATGTTTACAAAGTATTAACAAATGTATGTGGAATATAATGTCAATCTGAAAAATAAAAAAAGGGGGGTAATAATAGAGAACTGGCTTTTTAGTGTTTACTTTAATGTAACTACATTTTGAATTTTACTTCTTTTATCTATCCTATAGAAAATAGGAGATGCATGATAATTGTCAGGCAGCAAACCCAACAACAAAAAGACAACTGTATAAATGCTGGATAGAAAAAACTGAAACATGTAATCTCTCAAAAAAAACTTTATAACGTCTTTCTGTTCTTTTGTTTAAAATTATGTTTAAATTGAGCTGTTGTGATTAACAGAAAGTTTAATTTTATTACCCAACAAAAGATATTAGTTCAGAAAGACAAAAGCTGCTTTACTCCTAAATATTTAAAAGAACTTCAACAGTTTGTAGTAGATTAAGAATACCATAGGTGATGGTTACTTTTATTGTCATGTAGCCATTTGTTTATTCTGTAACAAAAGTTTATTGTTTCCGTAGTAGATTAAGGATGGCATAGGTGATGGTTACTTTTATTATCATGTAGCCATTTGTTTATTCTGTAACAAAAGTTTATTGTTTCCGTAGTAAATTAAGAATAGCATAGGTGATGGTTATTTTTGTTATCATGTAACCCCATTTGTTTATTCAGTAACAAAAGTTTATTGTTTCCCCTTCATAATTTAAAGTTGAATATGGCCACATCCAAAATTATCTTTTTGTTCATGTATTAGAAAAAAAGAGATAAATTGAACCTTATTTTAAGCTTGTATATTTTGTGTCTTTCAGGGTTTATATGCAATGTCCATGAATTGTATGGAGGCCGCAGAATCACAGTTTCACACAGCAATAAAGGTCAGTGAAGGTCATACCATTCACTTGTTATCAGCAGTAAAATAATTGCATTTATTTTATTGTTTGTTGATTAAAAGAACTTATAGGTTTTTTGGATTGTTTTTTTTTTATGCCCCCGCCGTAGCGATGAGGGCATTAAGTTTTACCCTTGTCCGTACAGGTCTGTACGTTCGTACATAGGCAGTCCGTACGTATGTACGTCCCGAAATTGGTTTCCGTTCTCTAACTTAAGTTTGCCTCAACCAAATGTTATGAAACTTATACACAATGCTTATTACCACAAAACACAGATCAAGTTTGAATTTTGGTGGCGTCACATTAACTGTTCTAGAGTTATGTCCCTATAGAAATGGAAAAATTGCAAAATTTTTATTTTCTTCTTAATATCAAGTTATTTTTAAAATTGGAGTTATCTTCCTTTGTCCATGATTATAGTTAAATCAACTACAATCAATGCTTTATACAATACAATGTTTAATTTTGACTTCCACTGATAAAACACAGATTTAGTTGAATTTGGGTAGTGTCACTTTAACCATTATTGAGTTATGCCCCTTTATAAATGGAAAGATTGCAAAATTTTTTGCCCCAACCAAACATTATGAAACCTATACACAATATTCATTACCACAAAACTAAGATTAAGTACAAATTTTTTGTTTCTGTTTTCTAACTTTAGTTTGCCTCAACCAAATGTTATGAAACTTATACACAATGCATATTACTACATAATACAGATTAAGTACGAAATAAGGTGCCGACACTTTTACCATTCTTGAGTTATGTCCCTTTATAAACATAAAAATTGCTGAAATTTTTAGTTTGTCTCAACCAAATGTTATAAAACTTATACACAACTGTTCTAGAGTTACGTGTGTTTACAAATAGAAAAATTGCTGAATTTTTAGTTTCTGTTCTCAACTTAAGTTTGCCTCAACCAAATGTTATGAAACTTATACACAACCGTTCTAGAGTTATGCGTGTTTACAAATAGAAAAGTTGCTGAATTTTTAGTTTCTGTTCTCAACTTAAGTTTGCCTCAACCAAATGTTATGAAACTTAAACACAATGCTTATTACCACAAAACTCAGATCAAGTTCAAATTTGGGTAGCGTCACTTTTACCGTTCTTCAGTTATGTCCCTTTTTAACTATATGATATGCAAGCGGGGGCATCATCTATGGACACATGTGGACACTATCCACATTTATTTCATTTTATTTCACCTTGCCTGTGTTATCTACAATACACAGTAAACCAACTTATTTTCACAGATACTTTATTTCGCGTTTACCCTTTTCTCGCCCACTTTGTGGCAATTTAATTTTCATGATTTTCAAATTTACCTGATATAGTTATATACGGTAAAAAAGATCCAAGATTAACATATTTGCGAAGATTAATATTTGCGATATTTTTATACTATTCATTAATTATTTTTGTAATTTTAGTTATCAAGAGGTACAGAACTAGCAGCATTCATTAATTGTTTTTGTCATTTTAGTTATCAAGAGGTACAGAGCTAGCAGCATTCATTAATTGTTTTTATCATTTTAGTTATCAAGAGGTACAGAGCTAGCAGCATTCATTAATTGTTTTTATCATTTTAGTTATCAAGAGGTACAGAGCTAGCAGCATTCATTAATTGTTTTTATCATTTTAGTTATCAAGAGGTACAGAGCTAGCAGCATTCATTAATTGTTTTTGTCATTTTAGTTATCAAGAGGTACAGAACTAGCGGCTTTCATTAATTGTTTTTGTCATTTTAGTTATCAAGAGGTACAGAGCTAGCAGCATTCAATAATTATTTTTGTAATTTTAGTTATCAAGAGGTACAGAGCTAGCAGCATTTATTAATTATTTTTGTAATTTTAGTTATCAAGAGGTACAGAGCTAGCAGCATTCATTAATTGTTTTCGTCATTTTAGTTATCAAGAGGTACAGAGCTAGCAGCATTCATTAATTTAAATTTAGCAATAATATACATGAGATCAAACAGACAGGATGAACTGCTTCAAATATTAGAAAAAGTAGACCCAGAAAAACTACAGGCGCAGTAAGTTTGTTAAAATATATAAATATTTATAGCATCAATTTGATTAAATCCACACATCCTTTGTAATATAATTACTCTTCTTTTTTTCAATTAACTACATTGAGTCACATGTAGGCAACAGTCTATTTACAATTGTTTAAAGAAATGAGTGGCAATATAAAAAAGAAAGAATTAATTCCAATCTCTTTTTGGGGTAAAGATTACATTAACAAATTAAAACTCTAATGGAACTTGCTTGACAGTTATCAATTTCCAAACTTTATCACTACCTTTGAGATAATAAAAACCAACCATAGATCATTAAGCACAACATTCTATACATCCTATCCATGAGCATTTCAAGAAATTTATACTCAAATGTAAGTTATAAAATGATGTGTATGTGTATAACCATGTTTGTCAAGAAAATTACAAGAAAAGTAGGTTGCATGAATCGAGTATTTTTTTTCTAAAAATATCAATGATTTCATTGTAAAAATAATAATTAGAATTGAACTTGTCTTCCTATGTCCATTATTATAGTTGAACCAACTACAATTTTACTCCAATTAATAGTATTGCCTTCCAATGCTTAATACAATGCCATGTGTTTGTGGTTTTTTTTTCCCATTACGAAATGAATGCAATCTTTATATATAGAAATTTGGTTTTTAAAATGTCGGAGAAGAAAGCTCATCCTTCTTAAATATTATCAGTATTGAAACATAATGATCTGATGCCTTAATTGAATACAATTATTTTGTAAGTACAAGGTGTGTATTAAAGGAAAATTCATATTGTTTCAATCTTTGTGATGGACATTCAGATCCATTCATTTTTTTTTCATTTTTTTGTAGCTGGCTACTATTACCACAAATACCAAAGCAATAATATCTATAAATAGCTTCTACTCAACAATGAATGACATCATACAAATCTCAATAGTCTTTACTTAAGCAAATATTCCCAAAACAGTATGGACTAAAATCAACTTCAGAATACTATCAAAGCAACATGTAACACTAAGAGGGATTTTTTTTATATATATATATTTAAAATTTATAAGTAGTGCGCAAGTTCCACACCAGGAAAGCTGCCTCCCAGGTCTCCGCAGAAAATTCATATGTTTTAATTATGTTATACTTTTCAGATCACATGGTTTGAAAGCTTCGGCAAATTATGTGAGAGGATTGCAGTCATTTTTCCAAGCGAGATACAATGAAGCCAAGTAAGTTGACCGATAGCTTGTGTAGTATCTACTGGCAAAGTAAGTTGACTGATAGCTTGTGTAGTATCTACTGGTAAAGTAAGTTGACTGATAGCTTGTGGAGTATCTACTGGCAAAGTAAGTTGACCGATAGCTTGTGTAGTATCTACTGGCAAAGTAAGTTGTGGGTATACATCAGTGAAACAGCAACTCAACAAAAAATAACCAAAAAGATATCTAGAGGGCAACATACAATCTCTGAGAAAAAATAACCAAAAAGTTATCTAGAGGGCAACATACAATCTCTAAGAAAAAATAACCAAAATGTATCTAGAGGGCAATATACAATCTCTAAGAAAAAATAACCAAAAAGGTATCTAGAGGGCAACATACAATCTTTAAGAAAAGACAGATGTCTATACAAAATGTCAAGTTCTAAATCGTTCCAAGAAAGTCTTTCCAGTAAAGATTTAGGCATTCGAGATAAAAATGTAGATGATGTATGGATAACTTGTTTTCACAATTTCAAAAAGCAAGCCTTAAAGTAGTGAAAGTCTGGTTTTTTGTGGGGTTTTTTTCTCAGAATTAATGTACTTATTTTTCAGACATTATCTAAGAGAAACATTGAAGATGGCAAACGCAGAGGAGATAAACAGGATGACATCTTGTTCACTCGTTTTACTGGGCCATATCTTCCTGTCTATGGGTAATAATACTGTAAGTTTATTTGCACAAAAAGTATGTCTGTTGATAAATGCTTGATATAGATATAACATTACAGATAAATCTTGGCATTAACTTTTTAAATCTTTGGGTGCATTATTAAGATTGCATCTAATGCATAATATATATTATAAAACAATATTGTCCTGTAAATATCCCCCTTCAAAATTGTTTGATTTTACAACATTAACAAGCTAAATTATATTTTGTTAAAATTATTTAGTTGCAAACTTGTTAAACTTGAATCTTCACTTCATCTGGATAATAAGAAAATCCAAAAAATATATGGCTGCGAAATCGTCCATTTAGGGCTAAACGCAAATAATGTATCCATGAAAATAAGCGGCTTTACTGTAAACTGTTATAAAGATTAAAATCCATGTATGACTTTAATATTGTAGGAATAGTATACTGTTGTAAAGATATGTATGTTTGTAATATTGTAGGAATAGTATACTGTTATAAAGATTTAGTACATGTTTGCCTGTAATATTGTAGGAATAGTATATTGTTATAAAGATTTAGTACATGTTTTGCCTGTGATATTGTAGGAATCGTTAAACATGGTTACACCGGCAATGAAGTTAGCAGGAAAGATACCTGATGTTCATGTTCAGTTATGGGCTTCATCTTTACTCAAAGGTATGAAACAAAACAAATAACTTTTTTATACGACCGCAAAAAAATTTTGCGGTCGTATATTGGTATGACGTTAGCGTCGTCGTCGTCCGAAGACACATTGGTTTTCGCACTCTAACTTTAGTTTAAGTGAATGGATCTCTATGAAATTTTACCATAAGGTTCAATACCACAAAAGGAAGGTGGGGATTGATTTTGGGGGTTATGGTACCAATAGTTAAGGAATTAGGGGCCAAAAAGGGGCAAAAAATAAGCATTTTTGTAACTTCCAGACATAACTTGTGTGTTAGTGTATGGATCTCTCTGACATTGTACCACAAGGTTCCATATCACAAAGGGAATGCTGGGATTAATTTTGGGGGTAATTGCCTCCAAATTTTAGGAATTAGGGGCCAAAAAGGGGCAAAAAAACAAGCATTTTTCTAGTTCCATGACAATAACTTGTGTGTAAGTGTATGGATCTCTCTGACATTGTACCACAAGGTTCCATATCACAAAGGGAATGCTGGGATTGATTTTGGGGGAAATTGCCTCCAAATTTTAGGAATTAAGGGCCAAAAAGGGGCAAAAAACAAGCATTTTTCTAGTTTCATGACAATAACTTGTGTGTAAGTGTATGGATCTTTATGAAATTGTACTACAAGGTTCCATATTACGAAGGGAAAGCTGGAATTGAGTTTGGGGGTAATTGCCCAAAACGTTTAGGAATAAAGCCAAAAAGGGGCCAAAAATAAGCATTTTTCTAGTTTCCAGACAATAACTTGTGTTCAAGTGTATGGATCTCTCTGAAATTGTACTGCAAGGTACCATACCACAAAGGGAAGGCTGGGATTGATTTTGGGGGTAATTCCCTCAAAATTTGAGGAATTAGGGGCCATAAAGGGGCAAAAAAACAAGCATTTTTCTAGTTTCAGGACAATAACTTGTGTGTAAGTGTATGGATCTTTATGAAATTGTACTGCAAGGTTCCATATCACAAAGGGAAAGCTGGATTTGAGTTTGGGGGTAATTGCCATAAACGTTTAGGAATTTGGGGCCAAAAAGGGGCCAAAAAACAAGCATTTTTCTAGTTTCCAGACAATAACTTGTGTGTAAGTGTATGGATCTTTATGAAATTGTACTGCAAGGTTCCATACCACAAAGGGAAGGTTGGGATTGAGTTTGGGGGTGATGAATCATAAGGGGGTTCAAAAAATTGGGGGGGGGGGGGGGGGGTGTTTCCTTTTTTTTCATTAAAATTTTCCATTTTAAATTGGTTATTTCTGATTTATATATAAAAGCAAATAACAATGATATGATTTGAATAGGTAAATTAAAAAATTTTAAGTTCTTAGACCACATTCATTCTGTGTCAGAAACCTATGCTGTGTCAAATATTTAATTACAATCCAAATCAGTGCTGTATCAAGCTTGAATGTTGTGTCCATACTTGCCCCAACTATTCAGGGTTCGACCTCTGCGATCATATCAAGCTGCGCCCCAGCGGAGCATTTTATTACTTCACATTGGAATATATGAACTGTCATCATCATTTTTATTTTCACCATCTCTATTTTATCCAAACTTGAAAGGAATAATGTATGAATTCTCATTCGCTTTTATTTACAGGGATAAACATAACCACCACAGGCAATCTGATTATGATTGACCAATTTAAAAAAAATCATTTCATGCAAGGCAAGATGCTTTGAAAATTAAGTGTTATGAAAACGAAACTATCATGTAACTAAATTTTGACATAAAGTTATCTTCTCTTGAGCTATTTAGGGGACGAAGATTAAGGTGTGTTAAGGGCCTTTTTGTCGAGCCTTCGACTTTTGTCGAAAAAGCGAGACATAGCGATCCTACATTCCGTCGGCGTCGTCGTCGTCGTCGGCGGTGTCCACAAATATTCACTCTGTGGTTAAAGTTTTTGAAATTTTAATAACTTTCTTAAACTATCCTGGATGTCTACCAAACTTGGACAGAAGCTTGTTTATGATCATAAGATAATATTCAAAAGTAAATTTTGTAAAAAAAAAAATTCCATTTTTTCCGTATTTTACTTATAAATGGACTTAGTTTTTCTGCCAGGAAACATTACATTCACTCTGGTTAAAGTTTTTGAAATTTTAATAACATTCTTAAACTATCCTGGATTTCTACCAAACTTGGAAAGAAGCTTGTTTATGATCATAAAATAGTATCCAGAAGTAAATTTTGTAAAAAAAAAATTCCATTTTTTCCGTATTTTACTTATAAATGGACTTAGTTTTTCTGCCAGTAAACATTACATTCACTCTGTGGTTAAAGTTTTTCAAATTTTAACAACTTTCTTAAACTATCCTGGATTTGTACCAAACTTGGACAGAAGCTACTTACAATTAAAAGATAGTATAGAGAGGAATATTTTCATTAATTTTTTTCCTCATTTTTGTTGAGCCTGTGATTAACAGCAAAAGTAGGCGAGACACTGGGTTCTGCGGAACCCTTACGAATTTTTTTATCTAAAGAATTCAAGTATTAAAAATGAGATGATTTCTATGTAAAGATCAATGATATGTATGTGCAAATTTAAACTATAAGGAGTTTAAAATACTGTAAATTAAAGCTGTTTTCCTAATTCTTAGATAGATAGGCAGGGCTTCAACTTGTATACATTGCTTAACTTCCAATAACATTTATAAGTATAATGTATACAAGCTGAAACCCCGCCTATCTATTGATAGCAGATGTCAATCTTAATTACAATGCTTGAGCAAACATTTATACAAACAAAGCAAGCAAGCCAAACAAACCTTTAACTTGCTAGCATTAGGAAAACAGCTTTGAGAAATTATTGTGATTTTTGAGGAATGGACAAAATACGATATTGATTATTGTGATTTCAGAAAAATCGTCATACATAAATATGTATCAGATTTCCGAATGCGAGTTCTTATTATTGCAATACTCACCAAGTCGAATTATTCACATTTGTAATAACCTCCCAATATTTGGAAATTTACAGTATTGAGAAATTTCGCTTAGGGCTGTTCCAGAATTAAATGTATGGGGTTGGGGGTTTGAAGGCACTTTTTTTTTGCACCCACCATGCATTAATTTTAATTACCTACTACCCCCACCATGCACACAATAAAAGTTGAAAATATAACCACCATGCATAAAATTAAATTTCAAAATAAAAAAATGTTTAATCAAATGTTGCAATTACTGTGAGTTTTATTTAATCTGATGGATTGTATACAAAGGTAAAACTTATTATTGATATCTAATAAAGTTTCTGCATGCAGGGTAAGATATGCTAACCAACAGGAGCAAAATATATCACTATTAGTTTTTTCACGGGAGTCCTGCTTGCATCAACTGTAGTCTATCTGTTTGTTTTTTTTGTTTGTTTAAATGTCTGCAATGTTTGGTCTCTCTGTCATAAAACTTCTTCTATGTGTTAGTAAAGAGTTCTTGTTCAGAGCATACATGTATATTGAAAAATTGATTGGTTCATTTTTATTTTTGAGTAATCATATTGTGAATTTTTATGGCCATAAAGCAAGCAGTCCTGATTTTTTAAATCTGTAACTACTCCAGCATTGAAATGAAGCAAGGAAACATAGAATGGCAGTATTATAATTTTATTTCTTTCTCCTCTAAAATTTAGGAGGGCGGGAGCAGGATGGAAGAAGTAAATTATATTCTGTCCAAACAAACAAAAAAAGTATGAGAAAGGTTATATTATTTGGGTTCACTTATAGTACTACTGGAAAAATAATTTAATTTTGGTCCTGGGTATCCCATGATAAAAAAATTTAGATGGGCAATGTGTTCCGTAGAATTTTTTTCAAAATTCCACCCACCCTCTTTTAAAAAAAAATTGACAGGGGTTCCCCTATTGAAAGTGCTTTCAGATTCTTCACCATTCTACTTAGGCCTTCAAGAGTTGGCAAAGGAAGAAACCAGGCAAAGAGATTGGGGGTGAAGCTCTCCTTATCCTAAAAGTACTTCATCTCTCTGCAAAAGATAGGTAATTAAAACCATGTAAAAAAAACAATAAAAGAATACATACCTGGAAGTTAATTTTGATATTTAAATTATTTCTGATAGCTCAGACCTTTTTGTTGATTAACCATTACATCTCATCCCCCCTAGTTTACAAGTCGTTTTTACCCAAGAAAATATTCATCAGAACTCTAGTTCAAACCTAAAACAATTCTCTTTTTGCCAATGGTTACATCTTTATGGTTTTCCAGGCCAGGTTCACTTGATAACCATTTTTAAAATCTTCCAAATTCCACTTGGCAACATCAGGGGACTATAAGGAAGGGGGAGGGCAACAGAATTATAGTTATCTCGTACCATTGCAAACTCATACCAATGTCAGCACGTACCACTAAAAGCAAACTCGTACCACTGCAAACTCATACCACTGCTAACTCGTACCACGTAAATTTGTACCATTGCAAACTCGTACCAACTTATTTAAATGCATTCAATTGATTATAAATGATGAATAAATATTTAAATTTCCCTAAATAACTCATTAGTCTATGAAAAATATATAATTTGAAATCACAATGACCAATTAGCCTTTTCAGAATCTAATGCTTTCTGGGTAATATTTTCAAACAAGTACACCAAAATGTTGTGATTGGTTTAAAACGTTCTAAACAATGGTAATTGAACCAATGATGTAAAGTTATTTTCATTTTGGTGTACAAACAATGAGATTACCCATTGTCCTTTAGATTCTAAAAAGGTGAATTTGTAGCTGCTTTTTCCTTAGCTAATTGGATAAAGAAAACTGTAGCAGATTGGCTTTATTGTCTCCCTTGAACAGTTCCATTATTTAACTTTTACTGACAACTATTTGATTAAATGTTTAATCATTACAGATTAGTTAAATTGAATAGATTTTGGTATATATAATTCAATTTAATTCTTTATTACTTTAAGCACATTATGCTTATCAGTTCAATAAATACAATATAATTTTATATTGTATTTAATAATAGACATTATACAATTAATTCCAAGATGTTAAATTATATAACAGAATTAAATAATTGGATTAAACAAGTTGATTAGTTAACTACAGGCATAATCGCACAATAATCACACTATCAAAGGAATATAATTTATTAATTAATATGGTATTTAAGAAATTCAATTTTTTTTTATAAAGATTTGCAAAAACAATTCATAAAACATTTGTATATTGTATAATTTTTTAATAAATTTTTGTATAAAATTCAGGAAAATCAATTAATATTTTATAAAATGTTTTAGACACAATGCATATATTTTTAATGGTACAAGTTTACAGTGGCAAGAGTTCGCAATAGTACGAGTTCGCAATAGTACAACTTCGCAGTGGTACGAATTAACATTGATACGAGTTGACTTTTAGTGGTACGAGTTTGCAATGGTACCAGATAACTTGCTTCCAGGGCAACGTCCATGCTGGCAGAAGTGGGCCAAGGGAGATAACTCAAAGACAATTACACTTCCGGAAGACAAAAAAATCTCTGAAATGATTTAGTCTGGCATGCAAACATTGCGACAACAGCTTCTAATTTTATTTATTCTTTGTAACACCATCATAAAACATTATTTGAAATGTTTTGTTTAAAATTAACGAAGGAGAAACCATGCACAAAATTGAATTCAATTTATGACCCACCATGGCTAATTTTCAAAATGATTTTGCACCCACCAGGCATGAAAATTTAATAGCACTGCCGTCCGACCCTCCCATTCATTTAATTCTGGAACAGCCCTTAGATTTTGCAGTCAAAAGATATGTTGTATACCAACAATTAAACAAGTGCATAAATCCAGAAAATATCAACAGCAATGAGGCCCTTTGATATTACTATGTTTATGTTTTTAAAATAATGACTTTTATGTTTACAGATTTATATAGGTTAAGTGGTGACAAGGCACAGGAAGAAGAAGGATGCAGGTTACATACAAGTTTTTCACAGTCATTACTCAAAGATCATTTCCAGTCATCACAGTTGTCTGAACATGGTCTTATTCATGTTAGTATTCTAGCAATTTTGTATTATTACATCTTAAAGAAGTTGCCATGATAAAACCATTATTTTATTCCATTGATTTTTGGAAATTTGACAATTGTGTTTCATAAAAAAAACTGAAACTCATTGAATTTACCTAAAGAATCACTGAAAAAATGCTTCACTTTGTCAAGTTGTCATAGTCCAAAGTTCAACCTGACAAAATGCACATAAAACTAGTTCCCCTGAATTAACCTCCAGCCAGCTATCGTTCAATATTTTGAAGAAAAAAACACAACAGAAACCTGATACAGATGTGTTAACATGTTAAGTGAAGACCGTACTTTGACCTATAATGGTTTAATTTTATAAATTTTGACTTGGATGGAGAGTTGTCTCATTGGCACTGATACCACATCTTCTTATATCTAAGTCACAAGGTAATCTTGATGATCCCAATATCATAATCAATCTTAACTACCACTTTTACTCAAAATCATGATAAAATAAAAATCATAGAGTCTGTGCTACCAAATCTTTAGTTGATTGATTAATGGATGCTTAATACTGGTGTTTCAAGCATATTGTTGACATAAGTAAGTAAGTCATGAATTCCCACAAAAATAAAGACCCAATCCTTCCACATCTTAAATACCGATAAGTAAATACTTTATTTTAAGAAGGTATTACAAGTAGCAACAATAAAGCTTATTGTGGATTCATTATTATTCATTGGATATCAATTTTCGTGGGTTTCGTGGGTACAGCCAAACCACGAATTCAAATGTTCAACGAATTACAAATTTTCTATAGGCTTTGTATGCATAGATGTACAAAACCACGAAATCAAATATCCACGAAACTACAAATTTTCCTCAATCCACGAAAAGTGATACCCACGAAAATAAATAAATCCACAGTATTGTAAAATTAGCATGTATATGTCTTATCAATGTATATTCTGCCTTGTACTATACTGTCAAGATGAGGCAGATTTTTTAAACATTCAAGCTTACAGGGCAAAAATTGGAAAGAAGATGTCGCTGTATGCAGACACATATTTCTAACTCTTAGTGAACTACTGATTGCTCTTCCTCCCAAATGCTGGATTTAACCTTCCATAATAGTGTCTAGCACACCCCCACAAGACAATAAAGCCAGTTCGAAACTTTTGTTTTTGAAATTTAACCTTATTTTTACCTATATGACTTGAAGTTAACAATTGTAACCCCTTACCATTTTTGAATAGGATAAATTCAAAAAATATCTGGAAAGTTGCAATTATTTGACATTAGAACTGAGGGTAAATCAACCGAAGTTTTATCAATTTAAAAGGGCATTAGCTGTCAAATTCATGTTCACTGATTTGAATCAAATTCTCATATTTGATTCATAACATACTAAAACATATATCCAAATTACAAAAAGTCTATAATTTACAAATTAAAAATGCTTGGACTCTAAATATATATCATCATTTTGGGTTATTTTAGTTTAGATGCCATCTGATTAATCTTTAAGGTGACCTCTAAAGACTGCAGACGGTCATATAACCCGATATTAACATGAATATAAATATAAATGGATAGCATTTATGTGCAAATTTTTCTAGGTCTGTTTGATTTCATGTTATAGGTTAAAATATATGTTAATCATTGTTTTTACCTGTACAAGAATGATTTTTTGTGGTTCATCGATCCTTGTTCCACTTTCAGTCTTTGCCTTTTAATAGCTGAACATGTCTAGTACATGCGTAACCCATCTCCAGCTAATGGGTTAAATTGAAGTTCACATGAATACGGATTCACATGAGGTTGAATTATTCACTTGCAAGTCAATAATACATCAGCGATGCTTTTGAGCTTATTTTAACAAATTTGGGCTAAACTAACTGCTTATAATGAAATATTTTTTGCAAAATTCCACTTTTATCAACACTTGAAACAAAAAGAATCATATTTTAAATTTGTGTCTTAATTGCTAATGCCCCTTTAAGTGTTGTCCTCACAATAACAAAAAAATAAAAATGAATAATCAAACTTTACATAATTCCATGTGTTATTAAATTAAATGAAATGATGAATGTGCTAATTTTATTGTTAAATGATTATTATTGCTACTAATGTTTTTCTCATCATTTTGAGAAGAAATTTTTTTTTTTTATTGTTTTTGACTTTTGTCTTTAGCCAATTAAACCCAAGTAGAGACTAAAACCAAGAATATCACAATTTATTCATTATGTTTGATTAATTTTGCTAAAACACTTTTATTTTAAAATGGAATATTTTGATATTTGAATTGAAATTTTGATATTTATTTTTCAGTGGACAGAAGGAACATGTCCATTTCATCTCAATACAACATAAACCATATAGAGGGAAATACAGTATCATTTAAATTAGCATGGGCAGCATAATGTACGATAGGGTGGAACAATAAATATCTTGCTGTGAAATATATTGATATGACTGTCCAACATGGGTAATTAACATGGGTAATGAAGAAGTAATGATGTTGAAGTTCCTTCAGTTTAGGTTTTTGTTGTCAACAATCAATCTAAGATTTGTTTTTTCATCAACCAAATTATATGTTATATAATTTTGTTCTTCTATGAAGAAATTTTTCACTGTTTCACTAGTTGGGAACATTAGTCTGTAAGTGCTAGAAGTCATTTGAACAGTTATTTTACAAGTTGTATTTCTTTACATGGAGACATTAGGTAATATGTGAACAGTGAATTGTGCTTTTAAAATCATGAAGTAAATATGCTTGCATTACTTTTTAAATAGACTCTAATATAATCAAACAATATTTTATATTGATTTAACCATAGAAGATTTTTGTTTAGTTATCAGACTGACTGAAAAAAATAGTTATGATTGACTTTACAAGAACTAGTAGAAAAATCATATTTTTGAAAGGTTATTTTTTTAGATAATTTTTTTCTAGCCAATATTATCCTTTCATTATTTTGAATTTCATTACTTCATCTTTCTGAGAGCAATGATTTTGCCTTAGTTTTGCTGCAAAATTTTATATATAACACCTTAGTTTGTTCAAAATGTTTTTGAAGACCACCCTTGCAGTTTCCATCGGACAAGGAGAGATAGATTAACAGTATGTTAAATCCACTTAACCATTTGTAACCAGATTTGGCAGGAATGAAAATAAACTTTATTGGATTATTGTGTATTCATTTGAAATAAGAAAATGACATTTTGATTATTGATTATTGCAAAAGTAATCTTTTTTCAGCTTGACTGCAAAATAAATGTTAGTGATAATTTTTGTCTCGCCTTGATGGAGTCAAAAAGCGAGACATAGGTATGCTGTTTCCGGCGTTGGCGGCGACTGCGTGGTCAACAATGTATTAGTTTGTGATTAGGTCTAGTTCATGGTGAACCACTAGTGGTAGGTCAATGATATTTGGTATGCAGTTGTATTAGCATTGGCACATCTCATTACCATGGAGGTTATTTGGCCCTACCCCCTCAGTCAAGGTCTATTGACTTTGAAACTTTGCTTAGTTTACATGTATTAGTTTGTGATTAGGTCAGTTTATGGGGAACCACTAGTGGTAGGTCAATGATATTTGGTATGCAGTTGTATAAGCATTGGCATATCTGATTTCCATGGAGATTATTTGGTCCCGCCCCCTCATTCATGGTCTATTGACTTTGAAACTTTTGCTTAGTTTTCATGTATTAGTTTGTGATTAGGTCAGTTTAAGGGGAACTGTTAGTGGTAGGTCAATGATAACTGGTATGCAGTTGTATAAGCATTAGCACATCTCATTTCCATGGAGAATGTATTGGCATTTGCAAGTTTCATTTCCATAGAGATTATATAACCCCACCCCCTAATTATGGTTCAATGACTTTGAAACTTTTACATAGTTTACAAGTTAATGTTTGTGTTTAGGTTTGTTTAAAGGGAACGACTTATGAAAAGTCAATGGTATTTGGTTTGCAGTTGTATTAGCATTGGCACATCTCATTTCCATGGAGATTGTTTAGCCCTGTACCTTCAGTCATGGTTCATTGACTTATATTATTTGTATAACTTACATGTTAAAGTATTGCTATTTTAATTTCAACATTTGCATTATCAAAATAACAGATAGGCGAGACATATCTCTGTTTTAACAGTTTATTTAGACAAAACAGCAGTAATGACCTGGAATTTTTGTGTGGATGGAAATGGTTATATGTGTACACTATTGTAGATTAATAAAAAGATTCTGTTTAAGGAATGGTTTTGAATAAGAATTAAATTGATTTAAAAATATTGTCCATGATGAAAATTGGTCATTTTGAATGTATTATAGATTTTATGATTATATTTTTGATGTATAGTATTTTACAAATTGTACATTCTTGTATTTCTATTTTATACTATTGTAGCATTTATAAAAAGGAAAGTTCAATATCTACATACACTTTTATTTCCTTAATATTTCATTGTTTGATTTTAATTTGTTTTCGTAAAGGATTATGTTTGTTAACATGTTAAATGGTACACAACCGTTTAAATTTACTGATAAGATTTTCACACCAGCATATGTAAAAAAAGGTTGATTTTCTGACATTTCTGAAACTGATTATGTCTACAAACAGGGTGTTGTTCTGATTATTTTTTCTACGACTTGTGTTTCTGAAATATCGCGTTTGTTTCGCAGAATGTAAATAAGCTATTTGGTACATGATATCAATCATTCAATGCAATTTTTAAACTCAACTTGTTTGACTGAACTTTTTTCCCTATGGCAGTTATCTCCCTATTAACTGCTTTTTCTCCTCAGCAATCCTTAAAATATTCATTAATTTTTTTTCTCCAAAATTTTTGCTAGTTATACGAATACGAATACGAAAGTTTTATTTTGATTCGGTTCACATATAACAATACAAACATAAGCTCTTAAGAGCTTTTTACCGGAAATAGTTCCTCATTATGATCTGTTCAAATTCATCGAAGCAATCTGGTGACATCTTATTAGAGTTATTTTCCGTTTTTGTGTTTGACAAAAATATATGTCAATGTAACTCATAGACCTAGAGTCTTTTGATATATATATGAGGTCCTTTGTCCATTAGCAGGAAGTTGAGGTCAAGGTCATGTTCTAAATTTTAAAATTTGCTTGTCATTCTTCTCCTTAAAAACTGTAAAAGTTATCAACCAATGGTTTTTGTCAAATCAAAAGTTACAACATGACACAACATCAATAAATTTGGGATTAAATATCTGGTGATTTTTTGTACAAGTTTTTTCCCTTCAATATTTTAAATAAGCTGTATGGTGGTACTGTATGATACATATTAGAAGCTCAAGTCGTGAGTTGATATTAATACATTTTTGTTATGCCTATTCCACTAATACTGTATGAGGTAGACAAGAAAAGAAATGGATATGAGATAAGACAAAAAAATTTGATACATTTTGTTTAAGCCCATTCTAATGACATTTATAGGAGTTATTGCCTTTGCAAATACTTAAAATTTTATGATTTATTGGTGACAGCTTCATACTAGTACATGATAAAACTATTGGGTGATTTGCATTAGGTCAAGATACATATGACCTTGAAATGGATAAATTGGAAGTGATCTTGGGTAATCAGGAAATTTTTCACTTATTTCATATAGTTTATGCAAGTATCTAGAAACTATATTTTTGGAATCAGCATAAAGTAACCAATCATGACAACAAAATTGAACCAAAAGTAGCAAATTATCTCCCTTTTTTCTCGCAAAAATACATAGAAACCATATATTTTTGGAATCGGTGTAATGTAAGCTAACATTAATAATATTTGACTCCCTCTATTTTTTTTTAAAACCAGAAATAGGTTTGATTATCTTTGTTATTTTTTAGTATAGTATAGCAAACAATATTGTTTTTTTATACGTGTAAGATTGACTTCTTTCTGACACCCAAAAAGAGACTTTCTTAAAAGGGAAGTAACTGTGTTCTCCCTTATTTTATAAAAAAAAACTCAATTTTTTGCATATCTTTATTCAAGTTCATTTCTTCTGTAATTATCAACAAGTGTGAAACTCAAGGAGGAAAGACCTTAAATTGATTTTTAATTTGTCAGTAAGTTTTGTAAACAAGGATTCCAAATTGTTTTCAGTTAATTTGTAAATCAGTATATTATGATCATGATACAAGAGAATACTGTTATCTGATTAAAACTGAGATGTGTTACCTACAACAAATCATCCAAGTAGAACTGTATTCTCAGAAATATGTCAAGTCTGTTTCTCTATTCTGATATATGTGCAATGTATGACTACATTATAGTGTAGTCTAGTTTTGTAATGAAATGTATTTTCAGGTTTGATAGAATACATCAAATAATGCATGTTGTCAATTATTATAAATGTTTCTATATACATGTTGTTGATAAAGGCAAACATGAAAATAAAAACAATTTGAAAATCATTTCCAGCTGTCTGTTTGACTTCTAATCCCAAGGAGGAAGAAACCTGGTCTTTTCTTTGCTCATCCAGTTTAAGGTCTTGTAACCGTTTTAAAACTATTTGATCTGTTTTAATCAAACTTTGCTTTGTAAAATAGAGTTGTATAGTGATTTGTGTCAATTTTCTAATGACTTGATACAAAGGCTGTGTTGGAAAATGTAGTTTGTGAAATATATTTATAAGCTAACTTTTACCAAACTGCAATTTTTGCTTAAATTGTTAAAGACAATGAAGCAGTTAGAGCAAAAAATATATAGGGTAAAAAAAAAAATTATTGAAATTATGTTCTAAAATTACCATTTTAAAAAAGCCTTAGCTGTCAAATTCATGTTCACTGATTTGACTCAAATTCTCATATTTGATTTATAACATACTAAAACGTATATCCAAATTACAAAAAGTTTAAAATAAATCATTAACAATGTATGGACTCGATAATATGTATCAACATTTCATGTGTATTTTTGTCTAGATGTCATCTTATTAACCATCTAGATGACCTCTACAGACTGTCGACAGTCATATATCCCGATATAAACATAAATATATTTATAAATTGATAGAAACCACGTGTAATTGGATTTTTCTAGGTCTGCTTGATTTCATATGGTAGGTTAAAAGTATGTTTATCATCCTTTTTACCTGTATAAGAATGATATTTTTTGGATGGAATCAGTCAACCAAATGGTTCATCTTTGTTTCACTTTCAATGTTGACATTATTTTCCTTTTAATAGTTGAATACATGCGTAACTTATCTCCAGCTATGAGGTTAAATTGAATGTCACATGAATACAGATTTAATGAGGTCGAATTATTCACTTGCAAGTGAATAATTCAACAGCAATGTTTCTTAGCTTATTTTGACAAAATTGAACTAAATTGGCTGCTAAAAGCTAGTTACTATTTCACTTTCATTAATGATTGAACAAAAAAATCATATTTCATTTTTTTTTTTGTATCTTGTAGCTATATATAGATATTAAAAATGACCATCAAGACATAAGTCAACATGGCTGAAATCAAAATCCTTAGGCAACTTTTGTTATTGCCCTTAAATTACAACTTTTATCCATATTTTTATATGCCCGTTTACGGGACGTATTATGGTATACAGTTGTCTGTCCCTCTGTCCGTTCTGTCGTCAACATGTTGGACAATAACTCAAAAATGCTTTATCCAGTTTGTATGAAACTTTGGTGGATTCAATATATCTATTGACGTGAGCTCCTTTCAATTTTTATAAATTTTCAATTTTACATTTCCGAGTTATGGGGGTTTTATTCATTAAAAAAGGGGGATTTTCAAGTTTTCGGACAATAACTCAAAAATGCTTTCAGCAGTTTTCATGAAACTTTGGTGAATTGTTTATATCTATTGACATAAGCTCCATTTAGATTTTTATAAATTTTAGATTTTATTTTTCCGAGTTATGGGATTTTATTCATAAAAAAGGGGTGATTTTCCAGTTTTCAGACAATATCTTTAAAGTGCTTTGAGCAGTTTTCATGAAACTTTGGTGACTGGTTTATATCTATTAAGATAACCTCCCTTTAGTTTTTCTTAAATTTCTTATATGACATTGAGAAGTTACTGAACTTTATTCTTTGAAAAAGCGACGGGTGTATCATGGGCTCATGGCACAGCTGTTTATCCATTTTACCATGAAATACAATTTTTCAGTTTTTATCTAGCGCAAAAAATTTTGCCGTCGTATATTGGTATCACGTCATCGTCGGTGTCAGTGTTGTCCGAAGACATTTGGTTTCCGGACAACAACTTTAGAACAAGTGAATAGAAATCTATGAAATTTAAACACAAGGTTTTAAACCACACAAGGAAGGTTTGGATCGATTTTGGGGGTTATGGTCCCAACAGTTTAGGAATAAGGAGCCAAAAAGAGGCCCAAATAGGCCTTTTAATAGGTTCCAGACAATAACTTGTCGAACAGTATATGGATCTCTCTGAAATTGTACCACAAGTTTCCATACAACAAAGGGATGGTTAAGATTGGCTTATTTGTGATCAATATCATTTGTTTGGGTTTTTTAGCATTAAGAGTTACTTCCCTTACAATGGTTTTGTTATAAAGAAATGTTGTATTGTCTTGAGGTGATTAGCTGTCAATTTATTTTTAGAAGTAACTATTAAATGCTGATTAATTTTAGCCATGATTATGTATGTCATTTTCTATTTTAATACTTTTATGATGTATTTAATTGGGTTTTTATGGTTGCAAACTCCATTGGAAATTTGAACTGTTATTATGACCATTTAAGGAATGACTGTAATATTTTTTCTGTCTATGAAGAAATAACATAAAAAATGTGGTGCACACTGAATAACCCGTGTAGCGGGTTATTTTAAAGTGTGCACCACATTTTTTATGTGATTTCGAATAAACAGAAAAAAATATTACAGTCATTTCTTATAATTTAATTCTTAATTCCATTTTAAACCAGAGTAAATCATGAAAAAACGTTGATGACTTCAAGGTCACATGACAAAATTATGTCAATGAGCTGATAAACAAAACAACGTCAGCCAATCAGAAGACGCGTTACATCCAAAATTAAATTATATCTTGAGGGAAAGAATTTATTTTTTGGAAAAAGGGGGGGTTCAATTCGCAACAGCACAGTGTATTGCACAAAATAATAAAATTGAATATAAATTCAAATCATATATCCAATTCTAAGTTCTTTGACTACAGTTATTGTGTCAGAATCCTATTAAATGTGAAATATTTAATTACAATCCAAATTCAGACCTGTATCAAGTGCGAATATTGTGTCCATTTTTGCCCCAACTGTTCAGGGTTGGACCTCTGCGGTCATACTCAGCTATGGTTGTATCCAGCTGCGCTCAGCAAAGCAATTTATTGACTATTATCTTTAAAAATATAGAACTGTCAAAAGTGTAAAATGCAAAAATGATCAGCACAAGATGTATGTACCCTAAAAATGGAGGAAAATCCAACTACTGGCATTGGAGTCACTACCCCTGAAATATATTTTTTTTCTTCTTATTTTCAGTTTTGAAAACAATAGGAGCTAGATTAAAAATAAAAACTGCAACC